AAAAATACTTGGTTTAAGTCTACACTTTCAAGTGCCAGTTTTCTCTCAGTTTAGTGTGTCAGTTATTCAGGTCCCTTCATTTGTAGAGCTTTTCAGTTTGCCATGTCTTTTGCCTCTGAGTTTCATTCTACTGGAACAGAAAGTGCTGAGAACATTAGTTCTTTCCCCTTTTGAAGAGATATTAGAAGTGAGGGGAAGGAAGAAAATACCAACTGCTTGTATCTGTATTGCCACAACCAGAATGCAGTCATAAATTGTGCCATTGATCAGTAACTAAAAATTGAGAATTCTTTTCACCTCTGCCTTTTTTATTCTGCTTTTACCTCTGCAAATTTGTTGTTTCTTTTTTTCTTCTCACTTCACATGAGTTAAAAGATATCCTATTTAAAAAAAAAAAAACAACACATATTTGATTGTCCCATGAAGGTAATTGCATTGCATACCATGATAATTTTTTAAAAACTGAAAACATTATAGTGTGACCCAGTTTAAAAAATTATAGACTACGAGATGTGAACCCTTAACTTTCTACAAATCTCATAATCTCTCTGTACATAGGTGATAATGGTAATTAATTTTTGAAGTTTTCTCATCCCTAGAATTTAAAATTCTACTGAATTCTTAGAAATCAATTATGGAAAAATTGGCTTCAAATTCATAATTAAAGCTAAATTCCATTATTTATATAAGGCTAGAATTTTATTTTTTTTTAGTCAGAACAATATAGGATGTCCTCCCAGATGTCTACTCCTTATTCTTTCATGCAGAATTAATTCTATGAGAATTTGCAAGAAAATCCACCACAGTCAAATCTAAATTGTCTGTGGGTGGATTATCCCAGTTGCAGATTAACTCTGGAGAGTCAGTTCAGGTCTAGCAACATATATTAACTTCAGGTTATTGATGTTTGTGCTGCTTTGTAGATTTGTTGACTGGTGTCAAGTCTAAAAGCAATCTTGCTGGTTTCTGGTTTCACATGTCAAAAGTCTGAATGAATGTGTCCTGCTGGAGCAGAGTGGGCTCTACGTAGTTCAAATGATGATGTATCCATGTTATCAAATTATATCATGGTCTGTTTTACTGCAGGGCTTCCCTGTCATCTGCCCTGCATCAATGTGAGTTTGCTCCCAGTCTCCAATTTGGAGTAAGTCAGATTCCTGGTCAAGAGAGCTGGTATAGAATAAAGGGTGGCTCATTTAGGTCCATGCACTCCAATTGGTTTTGGAAAGAAGTGTGTAAGATGTAGGTCCCTCTGCACAATATCCAAACAGGTGATATTGGTTCAGAAACTCCAAAATGGCTCAGGCTGTGCTCTGCTGTGTGTGCAGCGCATCCTGGAAGGCATCTGGCAGCCAGCAGTCATCCCTGCCCTCCTGTGGGTCTAATTCTGGCACATGCATAGAAACAAATTAGTTTACCTCCATTAATAGGCACCTTGCACTTTCTCCGGGCTTGAATGCTGGTAGCACTAATGTTAAGTAGCACGAGAGCTGATTGCTGCCAGCAGCCAGTGCAACAGCACTGGTGAAAGTTAAAACAAATGCCAGTGGGCTGACATGAAGGATCAAAATGCAAACTGGATGTTCTGTTGCAGTTTGGCATAAAAAGAGCTTGACCAACTCCTAAGCTGCAACATCACCACAGAAGTCTCCAGCTCCATGTAGCCAGCTGGATGAGGAGGTACCCATATGCCCACCAGGGAGGTAGAGGCCTGGAGGGAAGGGGTGATCCAAGGGAGTAGCTGTTCTCAAGTGTCACACGACTACTTACCTTTTTTCCAATATCCCTGCCATTGGTCTGTGTGACATCCTCTGATCCTCTCCAGACAGGTTGGCTCTCCTGAGTGTCTGGGTCTGGATATACTTCTTTCAAGAAAAAGAGGAAGGGTGAAATAGTGGAGAGGGAAAACCAGTAAGGGATATATGCTGTGCCGCAGCGGGAGGACTGGCAGGACAGAGACAGGTACCTCCCAGCTGCACTGTACTCACACTTGAGGAGGAGAATCACTTATTTAATGAGTAGATTCCTGTGCTCAGCAAATGCCAATGAGAAATTAAACACGTTTACCAGCTTACATGCTGGGGAAAAAAAAGAAAGAGGTGAATTGTACATTTGTCTTCAAGGATAAACTCTCTTATGAAAAGCAAGCTTAAGTTAGGTTTTAGACATACTGGTGTTGGGTTTTAGACATAGATGGTCTCAAGAGCAGAGGAACAGGGAGAAGTTCTCTGACCTGTGTGACACAGGAGGTCAGACTGGATGATCTGACAGTCCCTTCTGGCCCTGGGCTCCATCGGTCCATGAAACAGTCACCTTTTCATTTCAGTAGCATTTTAGTCAGTTAACTTAGCTCATTTAACAATATTTTCTTGGTACGTATGTGACTCACTGATAATGCGTACTTGAGAAAGCATCCATTATTCGCAAAGCCTGGCTTCCTTTTTCATTTCAGCAGAATGTGAAGCTGAAAACAGGTGATTGATGGCTTTTTCTGTTTATTTTCTAAAAGATGTCAAGCAGCATATTTACTGACTCGACTCCTGCTGCAACTTGTTAGTTTGAGTAGTGTAAACACATCTTAACAACCCTTAGTAATTGTGGGGAGAAAGACATCATGAATATAACGAAAACTGACAGCACCGATTTCCATTCCTGTAATTTTTTTACGCGTATAAAGACAAGCACAGTATTTTGCTCAGATGTTTTGAAGGTTCTAAAACTTCCAGATAACAGTCTATTTGTACTCATATTTCAAATATACTACTTGTATGGTAAAAAAAGGTTAATATTTAGTTCTTTTTCTCTCAAAGTACTTCATGGACCCTTGTTTATACACCCATGTAAATGGCGGTTATCCATAACACATATTCACTAGATTTTGGAAAGAGAAAAGTCATTAATTACAGAGAAAAAAGACTAGCTGGCGTGGTAACTTACAGATGGAAAAGAAGCTTTAGATGAAGCCTAAGCAAAATGTAGGGAAGCGTATACCATCCAAATGAAATTGCATGTATTTATTTATTCTGGGAATAAGTAAACAACAACAAAAATAGAGAGATTTGTCCAAGGATGCAAAGTGAGTGCAATTATCTGCCAACTTTTCTTATCAATAAATCTTGTAGGAAAATAATAATTTAAAAAATACTATTGAAAGCTGTATGAAGCATCAAGAGTAACTTCCGTGTTTTTAGCAAATAGTAGTTCACAGTAAACTAGTAAATAGTATGGGGAAATTCATGCAAACTTGAAACTGGAATACGTTGAGCCTAATCTCTCCCACATTTCTAGTCATTTGTGCCATGAAACATCATTCAGAAACTTGCCATACTCACCTCAAAGGGAAATTTACAGTTTTCATCTTGTCCTCCTAAACACACTAATCCTATTGAAGAAACTATTCCTGAACCTTAGTTCCATAAAGACTGAAATTCTTGCAATTTTTGGCTAAAATAATTTATGATGACTGATGCCTGTGCAGGTGCACTTCTGATCCCCTCTTTGGTCCTTCTTGTTTTTTAGGCTTATTACGCCTTGCAAAGAAACAAGCAAACATACAAACAAAACCAGACTCTCTGTTCAATGCCATTTCTGATTGAAAATCAGAATTCTTACCCTTTCAGTGCTATTTCTGATGAAAATTCATCACTTAACACAGGTGACCAGGACTGCATCTCCTCTATGCCTTCCTGAATGGTATTATTACTTTCCGGAGACCGTGTTTCTCTTCATCATAATCTTACAGTTAGCTAGTGAATCTGTGGTCTTAGTCTCCTGCACTCCCTACTGATAATGATGTCCATTCAATAGCCATTTTTAAGCTATCTTGAGCTTATTCCAGGTGTGCAATAAGTGAACTTGCTCCAATGCAAAAATGCAACATCAGATTCAATGTAGTTAGCATTAGAATTCATATAATTAGAATTAGTTTCATACTAATTTAGAGGAGCCCTTTCTAGGATGTAGTTTTTGAACGGTCTACAGCTTATTTAGCTTCATTAGTAATAAATGCAATTTTGAATGCAATTATTTTGTTCACTTTGTTCATGATAAGGTCTATGAAGACCACACTGAATTTGTAATAAAATGAGTTTTTTATGCTGAAATCAGATGTGCCAGTCATACTCTGTATTATTGTAGCTGGTTTCTTGCTAAGACTCATTAGCATCAGTGATACTGGTACTCATGTATCAGCTGTATGAATAGTACTTGCTGTGTCTCCAGAGAGGGGAAGACACTGGCCACTAGAGGAAACAGCAGTTTCAGTCCAACATAAGCATAGAAACCACTGTTTAAGTCTGAAACCAATAGCAGAGTTTTCAGTAGGCCGTTGTCAATTCTGTTATAACATCTTTATTTTATCGCTCTACTTTTCACTATGGTACTGAAAAGAAAGCAGATTCACTCTTATAGCTGAGCAGCAGGTAGAAAAATGATTATGTGAATAATTAGTTATGAGAAATTATTTATTTGAATCATTATTGTGGTTTGTACTTTTGTTTTTTCTAAATGCACCTAAAATGTAGTGTCTTATTTAGATAACACATTTGGGATTTTTGACTGCTGCAAAATGCATGAATCTTGCTGAAGACAGTCATGAGTCATCTAGCGAGAGCAGCATTGTACTGGTGGTACAATAACAAAAAAGGTCTCTAGTGTCTGCTGTCTTTGTATGTCTGACCTTGAAGAGAATTAGAAATTGCTTGTTGCAGAAGTTGAGCATCTAATACATTCATGCACCTGTTAGTTCTCACGTATTAAATCAGATAATGTTTATAATGATCAGTAATTCTTTTGTGAATTAAATATTTTCTCTTTCTAGTGACCTGGACATTCAGCTGCGTTTATTTTTATTAAAAGATTGTCCTTAACATGTAAAATTGCTTATACTTCAAATATTGTAATTTTGCACAATTCCCGTTCCTTTCTGGCATCGTTTTCCCTTACTATTGAATCTTATTTCTAACGAAAGCAATTTTGGTTTGCATTTTATATTCAAATAGAGACCATGAACCAAGCAACACCTGTTCGAAAACTGGAAGAGGTTCTTCACCTTGCAGAACTCTGTATTGAAGTATTGCAGCAAAATGAAGAACATCATTCAGAGGTGAGGCCCGAACTGCATTTGCTGTAGAGAATAGTTTCTTCCTGGTTTTTTCGCTGCTGATGCGAAGCAATTCTGTCAAGAAACATTTTAACTTTACTTTCTGACATATGTTTAAGGCAGTTCACATTTACAGAGGAATAAGAGACTTGAAGATTATGAAAACTGAAGTGAAATAAAACTCTACTTGAATTCGCTTGAATGAACTGTAGGTTTAGAAATGAAAATTAAAGAGCATAAAATACCGAAAGCATCTTTGTGCTGGAGGTGGTGAAATGGTATGGAAAAGATTCATAGCCTTATACAGTTGTTCCTTCCAACTTTTCACCTCTCATTGAAAATAGAAAGAAAATATAACTGAATGCTAATTTTCATCATGCTGTATAGATTGTGATTTTAATGTAAAAATAATGATGGGTGTAAAAATCCCACTGCTCTTCTTTTGGTTTGAAAAACAGTGCTTTTAAACTTGCACTTTTAAAAATGGCATTATAAGGTAGGAAAAATAAAATAGAACAATTTCATGTTTCTTACTCAAGTCTCTTTCTTCGTGATACAGAAATCATAATATTTGGAATATTTAGAATTATAGCACCTTTTATATGAAGGAATTACAAAAATAAACTCGACCAGGTACACACAATTGTATATATTATTAACATTTTAATAATAATTATACTTTTCTAAGGTTCAGGAAATTGTTTTTAAAATGTTCTCAAAAAACTCAGTAAATATTTTTGAGGACTATATGCAAAGGGATAAACATGATTTAGTATATATAGTTATAAATATGATCATTCAAAACATCTGTTTTTATATCACACTATGGAATCTAGTTTTCAGCTTACATCTGTCATGTGTGAACTTGTTATAGATGTTTTATTTTATACTGAGAAACAGCTGTTTCAATGATTTGAAATTAATTCCCTGGAGGTCCTGTTCTACACTACTGTTGCCACTGTGTTACTCCATAATGATTACTTAATAAAATGTATATATTGTTGTCTTTGTCTTTTGAGGACATGCTTTATTGTAAGAATATTAGACTCCTGTGGAAAAGAACAGAGAAGAAAATAGATCAAATGGTACAACTCTGTTCAAAGACTACTTTCCATAGTTCCTACTTGCAGCCAGAAATGTAGTGTTTTTCAGAAGGGTAAATGTATTGCTTGTGCCTTCAGAAAAATCAATTCATCAGAAGTTTTCAATGTAACCTAAGACACCTTGAAAAGAATAAAGATAATGTTAAGATTTTTTTCCCCCTCCTTCACTTATGTAATAAATGGTCAATTTTACTGAAATTTATAGAGTGTGCAGAATTTCAATATCAAAATATATCTGAGAAATAGTTCAAGAAATTATACTTTTCCTACTCAAAATAGAAAATATAGTATGGTGATTTCACATCATAATGTTAAGTAAATGTTGAATGTTTGATGATGCAGTTGACATAAAGGACGAGTAGTCTCTAAAATAGTATATCACATTTTTAATACTAGATTTTTTTTTATTTTTTTTTAATTCATAACACTTCCAAATTTCGGGGATTCCCAAAGGGAAGAGAGGTATGTGATTCATGATGAACTAAACATTATTTTTCACTGTTTATAGCATGGAACTGTGCATTGAATGTGTAGCATAAATTGTTCTAATGATTTCTGGTGTTGTATTGCCACATTTGTGTGTCTTTCTAGAATCAGAGAACTTCAATCTTCCTTTAATCTGATCAATGCTTTTGTTCTCTTAGAATGTGTCACCAATTGCTAATTGCCTTTAGTCTGTTTTCGTATTATCCATAGTGACTGAACTACTTACTGTCTTAGCCTTGGTATTTGTTTTTTCATTCTTCTTCCTTGGTGCCTAAGCAATGATGGGTAGCTCCTGAGAGGGTCAGAAGAATTTCTGTCTGCATTCAAAGTGCCATTTGCTAAAGGGAAGAAGATGGAAGGAAAATGTGCTCGTGTTCTGGGTTTGGGTTTGCTTTATTTGTTTTGAGTTTTTGGCAATATTTTCTAAATAGAGTTTTGCTTGCCTAAAAGGGACACCTGCCAATGCCTGTATACATTTCTTCTGTCTCTATTTCATAGCATTTAGTTATTTTCTAGGTTTAAGGATAATGAGCTCCTGTTTAAACAGGATTTACTAATGAGAAACTTCTTCCAGTTTGAGGAAAAAGGCTCCATTTCAAACTCTTGCCAAAATGCTTGAAGCCTTGTCTGTCCTTTTCTCTCTGGTGCCAGTCAGCATCCTTCAATCCTAGCACTGCAACATGCAAAATACTTTCCAGTGATAGCATAGCATTTCTTTAAAACCTTTTGCCAATTCGTCTTTTCTCAATTAGCCCCATGTCAAATAGTATTACAGGCAGTCATCGGAAAGGCCAGGATGGAAAAAAAATATTTGTACACCACTTTTCAGAAGTTATGTTTTATTTGATGCCTTTCAGGCCTGAGTTCATGTTTCTACATTACCTAGAAATGCAAGTGGGAATTGCTATGACTTTGTTTAAAGTTGTGGGAATTCAGTGCTTTTATAGATCAATCTACATATATCCCATCTTGGCAACTCAAAAACATTCAGAATGAGATATTCAAAATAGGGGGCATATGTTTGAAAGCAAAGACATTTTCTTACCTAGTATGTGTAGCTGTTCCTCACTATCAGGTATCTTTGTTAGCTCTGAACAAAACACTCTCAGCAGTGTGTGATATTCATCCTATTTCATAAGCTCACTTCACCTTCGTCTTTAACTCCAGGATCATACAGCTCCCTCTGATCCAGCACTCAGCTTCAATACTGACCTTTCAAAGCCCAGATTTAAGTGACAGTAAAAAGGTACAGGAGTTATATGTGAAGCAGTCTTTAATGTGGAGCTGGTTTCACTTGCCGACACACTATTTTCCACAAATTTCTTCTTTTAAGCTAAGATTACCCAAGAAAACAGTGTATTCCGACATGCTGTTAAGTTACTGAAAATTAATATAGACTAGTGAATTTCTAATGATGTATTTATAGCATTTGTGGAAGGAAAGCTGGATGCCTTCCTCAGGAGAAACCAACATCTTTAAGGTAAAAATAGGAATTAAAAAGCGCTCTCTATCTATTAAAAAAAAACACCTTAGACTTCAAGGAATAAAATTTCACTTTAAATCCATCCCTTACAAAATGTATTCACAAGAATTTATTTGAAAAATAAATTAATCTAACTACTTATAGAATCAAATGAAACCAAAGCATATACAGTAATTTTTCAGTGAGGAGGCCTTCATTCTTTTCTTTGCTCTCTGGCAAAAAGAGTTGCAGGGATTTATACTCCTTTTTTGATTTTTTTTGTGTTACATTTTTGTTTCACAGCATAATCTGTTTATTTTCTTTTTGATGCAAGGTTTTAAAAAGTATTTTCACATTCTTCACTTGGCCTGTCCATCCTCTCCAAATGAGATAGAACATGAAGTGCGATATCCAAATGTATTTTGCCATAGATACAACACATCTCTTTGCCTTATGACTCGTGTTTAGTAATTCTATTTTGTCATGTTTGCAGGCATTCGCTTGGTGGCCAGAATTATTGGCTGAGCATGCAGAGAAGTTTTTGTCTCTTTATTCTGTTGATATGGATTCAGCACTCGAGGCACAGCCGCAGGACTCCTGGGACAGCTTCCCACTTTTCCAGCTGCTGAATAACGCCCTCAGAAATGACAGTAAGATTTATTTTCTTTGCTTCTTGTGTGCATAAGATTTTGCAATGTGCCGACGCCTTAGAAATGTGTTCCTATGTAATATAATTTTCAAAATAAAAGTGATAGTACCTGCGTTTATCCTGGTGCTCCAGTTGCTGGAAGTTGAGCAGTTTCTCTCTATCCTTGCACCATTTCAGTCCTTTTTCTGGTGATCCAAACCATTCAGGTTCAGAAATTGCTCAGTTTTAAATCAGTTATGTACAGGCAGCATGATATGTATTTCATATTTCATGTTTAATCTATACTGCCTAAGTAAAACTGTAGTTAATATTTCCTTCTAAGCCTTCATGCAAACTACTTTCAGACTAGTTATGCCTATAAAGTTATTGTAGGCTTCAGGTGAATGTGGTAAGATAGACAAAATAAATGAGTGTTATTTTCACTTGTATTGCTGTATCATTATTTGAGTTGGAGAACAAACTTTCTTAGTTTGTTAGGCAAAAGTTAGGCATGTTTTGTGTGAAAGTGATTTTAATAATGGAATTAAGGAAATAACCAATGAAACCAAAGAAAATCATAGAATTGTCCAGGTAGATTAGGTGTTATTTTAAAAATATTGGATTGCATCTTATTTTGCAGACAGGTAATTTCTCCTAACATTTTAAGACATTCAAAAAAATAAAATAATTGTGCTATGTTTATATGTTTATTAATATTCTATTGCTTAAAAATGAGAAAATGACCTACTGTTTTTTAATTATTTTTTGAGATCCAAGCGCTTATTTTTATACAATTATTCAAGTTATTCCAAAGTTTTATTTTTTTTGTATAAATGCAAGGAATCATTTTTAACTCTTCCTGGAAAATTCATTTCATTTCTATGGAAGTTCAATAGCTTTTAAGAATTTTAGTTCTGTGTATGGAAACTGCTTGACTGAAAGAATGGAAAACAGCATTCAAGAGCTTTTCTCCATATTGTAACCTATATTATTTATCATTGTATTATTGTTAACCTTAGCTGCCAAGCGTTTATTGAAATACATAGGTCATCTCAGTATAGTACCTGTTGGCCACTGCACCATATCGTCAAATGGAGCAACTAGTAAACGTACAATTCACTGTAACACGATGGATGATGAACCCCATGGAAGGAAAGGGGCAAATGGACAGGGCCACTAAGCTGTAGCTGAATCTTAAACACGATTTTTGAAAGTCACTGTTTTTGCACTATGTTGGACGTGGTCTAGGACAGAGTGAAAGAAAATTAACATCCTGTCTTTGAGGTCTTTTTTCATTAATTATGTTTCCATACCCTGACATTTAGCAATACATGAAATGCCATATTCCTGATGTTACCTTTTTTTGTTTTCTCCTAGTGGAAGTTAATGTATCTGTTAGTATTTCCCTTAATTTGTGTTTAAGATATTTATGAATGTTTCATCTGGATCACTTGTTGGACAAACTGCAACTACAGAAAAGTATTAAAATTGCCATGCTGGTGGTAATTTAAGCTTGATTTAGAAGGCTGCTCAGAAGGGTGTAAGAATTGGTCGATCTTGGGACAGATCTCATAAGAGCTAGACTTCTGCAAGGTGGGTTCTGTATTACTTGAAGTGGGTGTCTGATCATCTAAAATCCAGATTAAAAATCTGAATCCTATATTCAGGTGCCTTTCCTACCCTCTCACATTTTCAGTTTAAGAAGCATGTCTCTAGTTGTGATGTAAGTGCACTTAAAACAATTAGATAGTTTCTGAAACCTGTGGAGGTACTTTACAATAGTCTTACAAGATGGATTTGTGGCACCTGTTTTAACTACATTATTGTCTCATTTTGTTCCTTTACACTTTGGTTCCAAACTAAGAGTTGTCCTCATATGCAAAGAGGTTGCTGGTAGGCTACTGATTTTTCTTTCCCTAAAAGATTAAATGGGTAATAAAGCTAAATGATTAAAATAGCCTTAGGAAAGATATTTTATGAAAACTTTCATGTGAAAGCAATTATTAGCAAGATTGTAAAACCTTAACTGAAGGATAAGAAATGACTGCTTATGAAATGTCACCCCTGTATACCAATTTCAGTAATTCCCTAATGGTAATAGATATAGTAAATGACAGTTTCTGGCAAGTGAAATCCATCTGGAAAATTATACACTTTTTTTTTTCCCCAGAACTATTGGAAAGCAACCATGGAAATTAGTCCCCTTTTAATCGGTGGGTATGTTAGCAAGTGGCAAGTGACCATTCTACCAAGAACTGGTTCCCAAGTGGAACATACCTCACTGCTTATTCTTTAATTAACAGCCTTTTCACCTTGCCAGTGCATTAAAGCCATTAGAAAGAGCTCCCCATGCTTATATAATCAATTTCACAGTCTTCTAAAATGAAATAAATAATTCTAGCTTTACCCTAAGTGAAAACCTTGTCCTGAAAACCATTACCTTCATAAAGATAGATTGGGGGGGGGAAGAATGAAAGAAAAAAAGAAACAACTAAAAAGGGAAAAACTGGAATGTGGTCTCATGAGGATAAAAAGGCTAGTGTTAATAATTAACAAGGAGAGTGAAGTGGAGTAAATTAGCCATAATAGAGCCCACAGTGACTGGCAAAGTCACCTCTCATTATCAAAAAACTCATTAGGAAATGAAGAGGTGGAAATCCCACTGGGTTATTCTCACTCTTTGGCTATATCAGAGATTACTTTTCAGATTTCTTTCAAATGAAGAACTGTTAGGTCACCATATTGCATATTAGGTTAATCTTCACTGAAATTTGGAGGACTGACACCTGCGTGTTATTCTATCTCAAGAGCTTTAAATGAGCTCTAAATCTTCCATGCAGGAGTCAGATTTCATGTAAACCTGACATGAGCAAACTCCTAACAATAAAAAAACAATCTAACATTTACAGCATTAAAGAAAACTTACATGCAAGACTATTTTTATAACTATGTTGCTACAATATAATATTAGAAAGACTATGAGATAATGAAAATGCATGGTCGTTACTATTCAAATTATATCAACTGTGTTATTCTATGTAGTATGCAAAGCATTAGACAAGATTCAAACCAAATACTTCAAAGCCAATATTCATTTAATAATGAGGAAAAAAAAGCATTTTCCAACACAGTGTATAACTTTTCATGAAGGGGGAAGGAAGGGAGAGTCCTAACTGCAGCTTCACATATCTGTTATGAAGGACTCCATTTAAGCTTCACCATTTTTTTCTGACCTTATTCCACAACAATTACAAGTTCATCAGTGAGTTCATCAGTGACTGCTTTCTTGTTGTGTTAAGTCTAATTGAAGAACTAGTTTTAAAAAATGGATGGAAGAGTATGATCTTCCTATCCTCAAAAATATCCTCAAAAACGAGGTAACAAATAACAGAAAGTGTTTTAAGAAATGGCATTTACTGTGGAGATAAGTAATAGGTTGTAGATAAAATTGCTGTGGTTTTTCAAAATGTAAAGGCTTGAAAAAAATATTGTTGCTGCTTTTATATTATACATTTTAATGCTCTCCAAAGCTTCTATTGTTTCAATTATACCTGACTGTGTAAAGCTTTGTATATTGTACAGGAATAACAGTACCCAATATCTCTCCATGCTAGCGAATTGATTTTTTCCCAAATTGAGTACTCATAGAGGGAAGAAGGACCTGGTTCCCCAGGATTGTATCTTATTTTCTGTAATGAACATGTTACTTTTTATCCACAAAGTCTATGAATTATGTTATTAATTGCTCTAGAGAGCTATCTACTTTCTGTAGTTGTTTAATTATTCAGATTAATCAGGTTTTCAGTGCCTCAAGAGAGACAAGTATTAATTCCTCTTTATTTGAGATGATGTCAGAGATAACTTACAGTGGCATGAGCCTAGTTACATGAAGTTTCTATATATTTGGCTTATTTTAGAAGTTTTTCAATTGTATATTCTGCTCCTTTCCTTGCCAATTTTTCTGTCTAGGTGTCACTTGCTGACACTATGTGCTGTGCTGTTGCTCAGCATTATTGCATCACTACATTGGCACAAATCAAAATTAGTATTATAAAGTGAATTCATAATCTTCATTTACCTTCAAGCATTACTCAGTGTACCTGCTTTAACTCAGCCATGGTACACCTCTTGGCAGCCTGACGAAGCTGATCTAGAAAGAACTGTTGAGTGTTAGCCCCTTGAAAGCCATTGCCATTGTCATGGTTATTGATTTCAAAGAGGAATTCTCTGAGAAGTTTTTCTGCTGTTGGTAGTAGCGGAGTGGTGAACACCACCAAAGACAGCATCACCTTCCTGCTTTGTTACAGCCCGTGCACCCCTTTTGTGCTAGAATCTATTTATAACATAGGAGCCCCCATCTTAAACTACAGGGTGGAGATAGAAAACAATTTGGACTTAAGGTAATCAGGGCAAAGTTTATAACCCCACGTAAAAATACCTTTCATCAAATCTTACCAAATCTTACACTTCTTATTAGTTGTAGTAGGAATCTTGTCTTAGATCAGAGACTTGGAATTTTTGCTCCTATCGGGAGCTGCTTTGAAATCATAACCTGCCTTCAGTTTAGAGCTGCATGTTTTGGTTACTGATACTGCAAGCTAAACCTCAAGCTCATAATTGCTTACCAAAATATCCAATAACCTTTTTGACTGAACAGGCTTTTTAGGCACAAGAAAATCATGCAGTAAGTTGCCAGTGTCACTCTGTCTTGTAAAGATGAAGTTCCTTGCAGTTCCATTTCCAACGTTCTGACGGAGGGAAATTTTTTACTTCTTAAATAAATTTTCAGCTTGCTTCCATATAATATATTTCTAAAATTCACTTTTAAAGTATGTCTTATATGTAAAAATACACAATTTGTGTATAAGCTGAGTCCCTTGCAATTTTCACCACAAATTAAGTAACTGATTAATAAATGTTCTGTGGAGTCAGAATGTAATATAAACAGGAAATAGATGGAAATATGTTTCTTTCTTCAGGTTATTAATGATTTTCAACTGCTACAAATAGAATATGGAACCTCAAGGAAATTTTCTTCTTGACATTTACTGGGTTTATTTTCAATCTTAAAATACGCTAGGAAATCCAAGTGGTGCCTCCCCAAGAATTCTATGGAAAACCGGATAATTATAGACTGTTGAACAAAGTCCTAATTTCATCAGTGGAAAAGAGACTTGTGTTAACCTGTGTCATTCTTCCTTTCCTTTGATTCTCCAGAAGCTCTTGAGGACAGTGTAACACACTGACTCCAAGATAAGTCCTAAGCTGTGCCTATATAATTAAAAGTGAAGCAAGCACCACAGCTTCGAGTGTGCACAAGCACAGTAGATTCTTTTCCTGCTATTGGAGAAGAAACATCATTCCAGTGCTGCATTACTAGACTGTACTTGTAATCTCTCTTCTTTTCTTGTCATATTTGAGAATATTTCAGCTACCTAATATGTAAAAGTTGAATAACTTTCATCTTCAACTTCAATCTTTCAAGAATTTTTCATCAGGGGATCTGTTTCTGTCCCTGCAATCCATTTTCCATCAATATTGTCTGTGCGTGAGCTCGTCCTGGCTTAGGCTTTCATTTTGTTGTTGGTTTGAATATGAGATGGCTCATATGAAGAGGGTGTGGGGGGTCTGTATTGACAAGACAATGGAGAATTAAGCTGCATAGCATTGAAGACAAGTGGTAGTTGAGGGATTTGAAGTGTGGCATTTCCTCAAGGATCTCTTCTTTCTCATCTGCTTTGATGCACAGGTGGTACCTTTTGGCAAGATCAATTCTAATCATGGGGTAGAGGGCCATGAGTCTGCTGATGATACTCAGCTATATCACTTACCCCTGCACTCTGAGTTCTTTCCCTGCCCTCCCAATCCTTGACGGAGATCTCCAGATGGGTAAATCAGAGCCGCCATGTCCTCAGCCCCAGGAAAGCAGGGCTGTTGATCAGAAACAGCACTCTCTCGTGTGTGCCCACAGAGGGATCTCTGTGGAGGTGCAGTCAGATTTAGTCTTGGCATCATTTTGGAAAGTTTCACTTCACTGCAAAGACTGCTGTCAGGATGTTAGTCACAGCTTTTATTGCCTGTGACTTCTTTAAATTTCATTCTGACTTCGGAATAACAAAGAGTCATCCCTCTGCCCATGAGGCTTTATTACTGTAATTCCCAGAGTAGGGCTCGTAGCAGAGCATTTCTGCGGTGTGCTCAGAAACAGTAAACTAGAGGCTCATCCCTTCAAGTAACTGTGATTGCCTGATTAATGCCAGTCCTGCACTCATTCTTTAGAGCAGCAATATTGACTTAATTGACACAGTTGTATTCTTCTTGTTTTTAAGCTCAAAGTTGCCTTGGAAAATCAGCCTAATATGTAGCTTGATACCAGCCACCTCATTTCCCAAAAGCAATGTTCATCACCTGCTTACTGTGAAAGCTTTGTTTTAATATCCAAATCCTTCTCAATTATTATTGCTGGTCACAGATGCTGCAGTTTTAAGATACATGAATATAGAAAAAATAACACTGTTTTGAGTGCCTGATATACAAATAATTATGCCAGAATTAGCTAGTTAACAAGTAGTTCTATGAGCAGTGTAAATAATGGAGCATGTTTGTAATGGACTCATAGGTGCTCTCAAGGGTGGATTCTCAAGAGTTTAATAAGAGATGAGCCTACGCCGCTGCCTTTTTCTCAGTGGAAACCCTAATAATCTCTGCCTGCTACTTAGCTGCCTGTTTTCATGAAACTTCATATACCTGAGATTTCCATCCCGGTGTGTAATATGGTTGAAATTAGCTAAAAGTTTCGATATTCTTAGCAAGAAAGGGGCAGGTGGGCAAAAAATAGGGAGAGCTGATCACATTGGTCTTCTCTCCTTAGTTAAAAGTGGTTGTTACATAATCTCCCATTACTCTACAAGGATGTTTTGAAGAAAATAGTTCTTGGCTTCATATCATTGTAGTTGAGAAGAAAAAAAAAAAAAGCGAAAAAAAAATATTGCCCAAACATGCAGCAACAAAGGCACTTCCTTGCAATGCAAGTAGCAATAGGGAACAGAAACTTGACACTTTTTTCCCCATAGACTCCATCTCTCCCAAGTTCAGTTTGTGGTGGACATCATTCAGGAATGGAAGGCAAAGGAGTTCCTGGAAGTTGCAGAAATTATTTTTATATATTGTACATGGATTGTACTAGTAGTGGAACAAGAGGGGGTTGTAATTTTATGAGATGGTTACCAGGGTTTTGAGCCCCACCATCCAGCCTTTTCTTCTTAGGAGGAGAAGAAAATTTGGTTGTGGAACCCATCCAAATGAAATGAAAATCCTGGATGCAGGAATCAGTAGGAGGAGAAACCAACAAGAGCATTTAAAACAACAGAATGTGTGTGGGGACAAAAGGAGGACTATCAAAAATCATTAAAATGTCTGTCTGTGGCTCAGCTTGCCTACATGATTTCCATGTACAGATAGGAAAAATCTTACAGGTCCTAATAATAGCACTGGATCATTGGGTGAACACAGACACATTCCAAGCATGAAATTGATATACTCTGTTGGTGACACAGGACATCAGTCCACTAAGAGTTAAGATTCGTTAGAGAACATTTCAAAGAGTACCGGAACAAGCGGTAGTGGTGGCAAACGTATTTTCAGGTTTTAATACATCTTCAGTTTGCATTGTGTATACCAGTTTTCATGCAGTAAATCCCATTTGTAAAGCAGATAATCTTCTACTGCTTATAGCTAATTTACTTTTCTTGAGTAATATGCTTCATGCTTATAGTATGCTCACCAATCAACTCCATTTCTTTCAAAAAGCAAGAGAACATTTCTAGGTGTTACATGATGTCAGCTTCCTAAAATCTTTTGGCAACTATTTTTCAGGACTTCCTTTAAATACTTATAAAACTACAACTGCTGTAAAGTGTTCACACCAGAGAAGGAGCAAACTTCCGGAAAGGAAGTACACAGACAGCATCCTTTAAAATTTTGTGAGACAGTTGAGAGGACAGAGGAGAGGCTGAGTTTCACATGAACACAGACAGGCTGGGAGCTGCTTTTGTTTGTGGGGGTCTCGATGCAGTTTGTGCACATCAGGATGAGAAAAGCCAGGATTCTGGTGATGAACTCTGGCCTTTGAGATTTTTATGTATGGACATGCCTAGGCATACCAAGACAAGTTTTCTATTCAAGAGCTCATTGTATGTCCTGTGTAGCTGTGGGCAGTGATTCAGGACTTTGCCAGCCACCGAGGACACAGAGCAGATGGGCAAACTGCTCTTATTCCCCCAAACACTCGTATGTCACACACTGCCTTTTTCCATTAAGCAATCTGGACGAAATGTCGTATACCTCTAATTACCCTAGTGAGGCTGGAACCTTTTACTGTAACCTTCGTTCTTAGCATAAGGAGAATAAAAATAATTGAATGACTTTCAAATGCTGTTTGTTTGGTTTAGGGATTTTTTTCTGTCTTGGTGTCTAAGTATTGAACAAAATTGCTAAGGCTTAGATTCAGCAAAGTATATTATTAATGTTAAGAAGCTGCAAAAGTGTTCTGGTTCAACAAAGAACTTCAGTATGTGCCTAGTTTTTGTTACAGTGACAGTTTAAAATGTTCTACAGTATCCTCATGGAGCACTTAATTTATCTTTTATGAACTGTATTTCCTACACAAGCTGCATCTTGTTCTTAAAATGCTTTTGTGTACTAAAAACATTTTAAGAGATTCTTTCTCCAATAGAAAAATAAAGTAGGGAAAGGCCTGACATTTTTATTTGTGTTTTTTTGTTTGTTTTCAAAGCATTTTTGTGCAATGGAAAGTTTCACAAGCACTTGCAAGAAATTTTTGTTCCCATGGTCATCCGCTACATCGATCTCATGGAATCATCAATTGCCCAGTCCATTCACAGAGGTCTTGAACAAGAGTCATGGCAACCTGTCAAGTAAGTGCCTTCTACAAGATCTGAACAAAGCACCTGCCTGTAGCTTTCTGTCTAATCAGGTGTTCTCCCCCATTGTCCTCTAAATATTCTATTTTTTATTGTATTCCTACATTGTTTATTTCTTCACAGGAGCATCACCAACAGTCTTCCTAATGTAGCTCTTCCAAAAGTTCCAAGTTTGCCTCTTAATCTTCCACAAATACCTAGCTTTACTACACCAACCTGGATGACTTCTTTGTATGACTCCACGTGTGTATTCTTCAATAACCTTCTGACTGTATGTCAGCTCTGCATGGCCTTGCTAGTGTTCTGTGCAGCTGTATTTGGATTGCATGGTGTTTATGATCTCTTAGTTGAAAATTACTGTTTCTTGGGAGTGAGCCAAGCATGGACTGTTAGTGAGTTGCGCTTTCTAGTGCATTAAAATATAGCAGTCTTACACCTGATAACTTACAAAATCAACTTGGCAAAGGTCTGTCATGGTATGAATGGTGTTTAATGAGTAGTGGGGAACCTTTTGGATAATTGACTTTAGATTGTGGTTTTGTAAAAAGTGAGGCAGCCCATCATATTTTTGCATGGGTTTGATTAACTCATTGTATATTGGTTTTGAAAGTCATTGACTGCAAATATTGTCATTAGATTAAATATCCCTGTTGTGAGGAAACAGTAAAATTTTAATAAGTAACCAAAATAGAAGTACATCCATTTATTTGTCGGTTTCAAAAAAATATGTATTTCTTTTTGATTTCTCCCCAGCACTTAAGTGATCTTTTCTTAAAAAAATTACGTAGAGCAGACGTGCCCTGTTCCATGGGAATATTCCCATATTTACAGGCCAGATTTCAGTGTGAGGACACATATACATTAGATAAAGGGTCAAGAAGAACCTTATTTTAGCTGAAGTTGTATTAGGAAAGGATGAATGTAAAAGACTTCAAAAAATGCATGTTCAAGTGTCAAAGCTTAATAATATGATTTCAAGCCAAGTATTATCTTCTCAATTTTTTTGACAGAGTTAAGCACTCCTAACAATTACTCAGATCCATTACTTGAAAAAGTTGATAGTGTGTGCTCTGCCAAACTTCTGGCACTTGTTTGTTGAGTACTATGATAGTTTTTCTGGTGCTAATTCCCCTAAAAGTTGACAAAACTCCTTTTAATCCTTGGCTTTGGTACCTTTTGTGTTTACTATAATAATGCTAGGTTTCTCCTGATGTGGTTATGCAAGTCATTTCAGCTTTGAATGCAAACTAATTGGTCTTCTGCTACTCACATTCCTTTCTGTTATTCCCATTCTTTCAAGGGTTACTTTTTTTTTTTAAGAATAGCTTTCAGAGTTAAGAGCTGTTATAATCTTAGATGCAGTCTTACCATCTGTATTCTTATAGCCATGTCCAGTAAAAATAACTTGTAGGTATTAAAAAATGTGTATTTTGAATATTGAATTATAATTAATATATAATAAATATGAATTCTGGTTGGAGGATTATATTGGTAGATCTTTCTTAAATGAAGGGTTTGGTGTAGCAATAAATCCCTAAGATTGTATTGTCAAAAAATGCTCCAGTATAGTGACATTCAGCCATTGGCTTATCCCCCTTGCACATCTGGTATTAAGGTTCATGGTGTGTATGCCAAAGTATGCATAACATCCTAAACCGATAAGTGAGGTTTTCAAAGCTTTTGGTGAACACTTGGTTTGACATGAGCTGTAAGCACCTGCCAGAGGTAGCTGCTGCTCTGATGCTTCTCAAGAGAAGTGGGGATGAGTGGTGTCCCCACTGTGATGTGGCCTCTGTAAGGCCATCATCCCCTTTCAGCCCCCCTGCACAGCGTTCGAAAAGAGCTCTGCCGAGGTGCTGGCTCCATTGTAGGCACCTCTTCATGTTCTTTCTCCCTAAACCTAGAGCTTAGAAGTTGCATTTTATAAAATGTGTATAAATTAACATTCAAGATTGAAGGTAGCATTGTTGCCTTTGTAATACTGTAGGATTCAGGTGGTATTTTAAGAATCATATCACCTATGTCCTACTGCAGAGCCAAGTAACTTCTCAGAATGGCCATGTATATTGTATTTGGATCAAAAAATAAAAGCGAAGGCACTGCAAGCCAGTCATTCTTCCTTCCAAACTGAAGAGTGTCCTCTTTCTTGCTGGTTACAGTATCTCCACTTCCATGGAGGGAGTAGTTTATTTTCACTATCACATGAAAGAAAGGGGGAGCATTTTATTTCCCCTACGGCTCCCATCCCATCCTTTTCAGGAAGAAGAGACCTTCCTCTTTCTAGTTAAATTCTCCAATGGGAAGTAACCAAATACCTAGGCTCTTATACTTGTTAAGCAAAAGCTGGTGTTTCCTGTCAGATTTGGTGTGATGAACACCCACCTTAAATGGACTGGAGTGATATATTGTGTTGTACAAAGAGTCAGTGGAGGCAGCTAAATTAAGGAGCCCAGGCCCTGCCTTTGTCAGACGTCTCAGGTGGCTCCTTCTCCCCACTGACTCTCCCAAGTCCGTCTCTCTCAATCCACTGTGCTCCCTCCTCCCAGCCACACAGCTGATGCTTTGGGGAGAAGATGACTACATGTGACACTACATTGTGCTGGGCTTCTCTCTTTCTCTTTGAAAAGTGGGGATTTTGGCCAATTCATGATTAGGAATTTGAATTACACAGTGAAGAATCTACAGGCAAAAAGAATGAGAAAAAGCAGTCCGTGAGCCAACTGAGTTATAGTTAAAAGTTTGCCTAGAATTCCAAGTTCTGTGTCTATTCTGTCTGCAATCAAAAGAGATTTCTTGTTTTCCAAACTTTACTGATGTTCGTGTTAATGCTCTTATGTTTGTGTTTAAGTCCATTCATGTTCAAAAGAGCTGTTATGTGCCTACCTAAGAACTTTTCCGGAAAGAAGTGAAAATGTATTCAGTTAGACATTTCTTTGCATGCTTTATTGATGAAAACAGATTTTCCCCTCTTTCATGTAAAAGTTGCTGCAGTTTTTATGAACATTACCAGAAAAGATTGTTTATATTTTTTAATTAACTGTAGCTTTTTGTTTTTTTCTTGATCATATATTGCAGAGCAGTAAATGCATGCTGTTATAACAGCGTTTGGGAAGATCGTTACCTCGTTTTCAGTTGTTTTGGCTTAACCTTTTATTGGGCATTGGAAAGGGAGATATGAAAAGGGGAAAGTGTTACAAGTAGTAGTCTGTTTTTCTTGATTAGTCTCAGGAGAGGACAACTCAGAGGACATCTTGGCTAGACATGCAGAACACTGTGGATTACTGTTCCATTTGGCTGAAGACAACATCCTTAAAGAGCAAAAGAGTTTGAACATCCTGTAAAAGCTTCTAGTCAGCCAGGATGAGGGTTTTTTTTTTTCCTTACTTACTCATTAATTCAAATGTACTATTTTAAAATGAATTTTTGTTCCATTTCATATTTTAAATTTAATTTCTCTGCCTCTTGTGGACTTGGCTTCTAAGTTAGATTTGTGGGTGATTTTATTTTTTTATGGTTTAATTTGTAATTTTTTATTTTCAGTGCAGATGTGACATAGATTCACTGACCAAAAATATTGTAGATACAGATCTGAGGTTATCTGTTGCTCTCTGCTGCTGGTCTATAACTTCAGCTTTAGCAAAACTCAAGGCTAAGGCAACATGGAGTAAGATACATGCTTGCAAGAGAATAGTCCTGTCTTGTCTTCTATCCAGAATGGGTGACATCAAAGGAAATATGTCAGCTAAATTCTTCCAGCTATGACTCAGCTATAATGAGTGACAAGGGGGACGAGCTGGGGCAGTCACAGTGCTGTGATTGTGATAGGAAGGAATCTGGTCTGAATGTGCCTGAGCTGTCATGATGGATCTCTCTGTGTGTCTATGCATGTTAAATAAGTCAGGAGGCCACATTTCAGTGCTGTTTTCGAGGGATTGCGCCTGTAGTGCCACATATGTTCCTTCTGCAGTGCTTGTCTACAGTAAAGTGTGACCAAATACAAAACTGCCATTTAAAAAAAATAATAATTTGAAACCTTCTCTTGCTGCCATGACATGATTAAACAGAGTAGACAACTAGATAGTACCTTTTGCACAAAGAACTAGTGCTGAAAGCTTAAGTTTTGACCAGCAAAACTGTGGAGTTTGTGCTTAGTTTTAAAAGTATAGATAATTATATTGAATATAGTTTTTAAAAAAAGAGTGCCAGTTCAGTTTCCTGGTAGAGCAATATTATTCCATTCATTAGACTGAAGTAGCCTTACCAGATATGTTCAAATTAAAACTGTTCAATAGCCGAGAACGTGACCTGTCCCTTCACAAAAAAAAAAAAAACAAAACAAAACTATTCTGCAATTATGGATGTAGATTCAAATGCTTTGGTGGTTTGACTTGAATGCAGGAATTCCTGCTGCTGCCAAGATAAGGTAAAAACTGAGTTTGGCTCTTCTTCATTTTGCACTTTATGGAGTATTAAACCCTGAAGTGACATAACCAGCTCCTAGTAGGGAAAGCAAATCTATAGATGGTACAACCACTGCAGGGTGCTGGGGTATGTGCTGGCAATTAATAGCATGTCTAGTGCTTTTACTGAATAAGGACCAGGAAAGATCCTAAAATCCAAATAAAACAACTGCCTGGTACAAATCACAGTACAAAGCTGATTGAGATCACGGTTTTCTGCAGCATTTAACAAAGAAATTAGGTGATTCTGTCTGGATGTGTGAACGAGGGAAAAATCGTTGCTGTTGTAGCAGTTTATTTTCCTTCTTCATCTTGCTAGTTTAATATGTTAGTCAAATTCAAGTATTACTGGACAATGCTGAATAAAAAATTGAAGAACTGGACCTCAAAATTATATGAAAAGAGAATGAATGAATTAGTGTTGCTCACAGAATGAATTAATGTTTCATGAACTGTGTCTATTATTACACTTATTATAATTGTGCAACTTTATTTGGTAGTATAATGAAACCAAATTAAGTGGCTACCGGGGAGTGAACATGCATAAGAATACATTGATGTTATTGAGAGCACATTAGTCCTCCCAAGTCCTAAAGAATTTCATTTGAAATTCCATTAGGCAAAAAAAGAAAAAACTATGGAAGAATAAAATACGGTTACATTGTAAATCTGATGATGAAAAATGGTAGTTCTGTTTGTTGAGAAGGTACGTTTTGTTTTCTAGAAAATATGTGTTTTTATCAACTGCAATATACATGCTGAGATTGTCCCCATTTCTGTTCCTATATAATTTGTCGTCTTCTTTCACCCCAGTCCTCTCAAAAATTGACTAAGGCACTTTTGAATCAAATATTGTATATAACATACTCACTGCTGGTGTACACAGGAAATGTAATGAAATCTTCAATATTTGATTATCATATAACTTAAGGAACAGTCCAACCGGATGATAAACTTTCTAAGGAGTGGTGGTGGTTTGTACTTAGCAGTGTATAATAGTGCTTCCTATTCAGGTCCAACCTTAACAGGTAACATCCCTGTGCACATTGTCATCTTAGCAGTCCCGTGGGCCTTTTTCCTGTTTCTGCTGGTTTTTTTCAGGAGCATGATACAATGTAAAATTAACAATTACTATTTGAAATAAGTGGGGAAAATAACGCATGATATCAAAAAGGCCTGTCTGAAATGGTGGGATATCCTCCTATGCATAGTGAAGACATCAAAACCTGCACCATTTAAAACCAAAGCTGAAGTCAGGGTTGGTTGGTCAGAGCCAGCCTTTTCCTCAGGCAGGCACCACTGCTCTCAGCTTGCCCCCTGGCCTGGCAGCCCCTTTGGCACCGAGATGGCATTGCAGAAGACAGCAATGGCTCTGAAGCCATGGTGGCCTTAAAGCAGTGGGGCAAGGGGGCAGTTGGGTGGGTCTAGAAAGTGGTGGGGTGCTGTGAGACCAAAGCAGTGCTCCTGCTGCATCTGTGCTGCCTCTTCAGAGCCCTGAACAGGAGCTGTGCTTCGCTTCACTTCACCACCAGCTGTCTCAGTCAACCTGGTGTGAACCAGCGGTGGTGCTGAGGGGTGCATCAGATGGTCAGATATTAGAGGTCCTTTGTTTGTTTTCTCATCTGACCCCGCTCTGTCCTGAGCACGCTCAGCACTCACTGACTTCTTCCGTGAGAGATGGAGTTACTTAACACTTTGATAATATGTTCTTTTGTCATGAGGCAGAAGAAAAAAAATGGCAGCAGAGACATATCTAAACTATTTTAAACTGTTATGATCTGAATTGGGATGGTCAGACAGAGTTTTTGTTGCTTGTCACTTAACATCCTGGAATGCCGTGCTGAGTAGCATTACAACTCCTTAAAAAGTAACCCATGCATTGCAATACGACACATCGTGAAAGTGTAATTAATCCACAATGACAGTGGAGATGTAGCTGTAATTACTGCTAAGATTAGCCTTAAATTGTTGTGTCTTATCACAAGCAAATCTCTTTAAATATAACATTCAGTTCAGGATGGAAGAAGAACTTCAAAATCACGTGGAGAATCTGAGATTAAGCAGACCCATATTAATCCCGTGTCTGTTTGTGCACAAACTTATTTAAATAGTTCTTCTCTTTTTTCCACCGGGGTCTGATGTTATTCCCTCAGTTAGAATTAGTGAGTGTTTATCAAGGGACTATTTGTCTGGGTATCTATTTTACAATATTACTACTATTATTTCTGTGGTAGGTTTATCTACCAGATTTATGAAGGCAAGAAAACATTGGTGCAAAGTCTTCACTGTTTTGAAAAGGTCCTTACTAATTAATAATTCCTTTACCTTTTGTTTTTCCTGTCTTGATCTGAAATATGACTACTTCATTTTCCATGTTGCCTATCATCCCATCTACCTCCCTAGCCTTTCCTATTTCTCAGCTAACAGATGAGAAAACTTTACTTTTTTAACCCTAATGGGAATTACTTTAAATTTTCCATGACCATTTTCACATTCGTGGAATAAGAGCATCTGTGCTGTGAGATCCAGTGAAGTGAAGGAGGAAGATGGTGTGATAGAGAAATCTTATTACCTTGGATAATTCTGTGGCAGCTGGCATAGACATCCATACATTTATCTTCTGTTTCTTGGGGACTTTGTTTTGTTTTGTTTCTTATAGAAATGGCTCAGCTACATCAGAAGATCTTTTTTGGAAATTGGATGCTCTGCAGATGTTTGTTTTTGATCTTCATTGGCCAGAACCAGAATTTGCCCACCATTTAGAGCAGAGGCTTAAACTCATGGCCACTGACATGATAGAAGCCTGCGTTAAAAGGTACAGTTGAAATGATAAATTAAATACTAGAAGAGAGTTTAAAATTAATATTGAAACAGCCATACTGACTCACAGATGTACATCCGTACCAAAATCCTGTTTCCTGCCGTGGTCAGCAGCAGATGAATAGGAAAAGATCTTAATCAGGGCAGCTGTGAAGAAATCATGACTTGTGTGTATTTCCAGCACTTGGCAGTCAGCAATTTGGCAACATCTAGGAAATATCAAAGAGAATTTCTACGTATGTTGTGAACAGTCCCTTGGAGGTCAATCTCTTCTGTTCCATAGCCGTGAAAAATACTAAGAAATCTCAAGCTGTCTCTAAGAAATATATTGCAAACTAAAGAGTGTACAGAATTTCTGCATCTATACAATAAGTTAAACTAGTTAAAATAAGTTATTGAAAAAATATTTTTTTCTAATTCATCTTATGCCTTTTTAAAGATTATTACAGATTAATGTGGGAAAGGCAATTGTTTTAATATAAATACTTGGATTTCTCCTAGGCAATAAATCTAATGCCACGTGTTGTCATTATCTAGAACTTTGCATCACACAGATTTGACTGTGTGGATTTTAATGGCATATGTGGAAATAGGTTGAAAACAGCTCACTGCCAGGATCACAAGCAGAAGCTGAGAACAGAATTATTAACACAGAGGCATTGTAAAAAGGGTTCCTTATAGATCAGGTTTTGGCCTGTAATATCAATCCTTACATCTTTGCTGCTTTGCTTTTCTAGAGAATAAGAAAATGGTGGCAATAAATGAAGGATTAATTAATATTATAGAATAGTGCTAGTGTTAATACGTAAAATTATTAATATTTTAGAGTTAATACATAACATACTAGTGTTAATATGCTAAGTATGTTTTAGTGTGGTCAACAATACTATACATCAGGTAACAAAGAAAGTAAATTATATCCAGAGGATGGATTGTATTAGATAGTAGCAACTCAGAAAAGAATGGTAGAACTATTCTATTATAACTCTTATTGTGATACTAATATGATCTATAGCAGTTATTAAAATGGAAATAGGATGCTTCCGTCCCCATGTTCTTAAAATGTTGTGTCGATTTTTGGTACTCATCTAAAAATAAGTTTGGAAAGAAAACATTGCTTTTATATTTATGTATTCTGAATTACTGTAATTTATTTCAGTGACATTGCTCTCTATTTACACTGGTGTGAGAAGAAAATAGGTTTTTTGTATTGTGTATCTCCTGATACATCTTGCTTTTCAATATAAGTATTAATATTTGCTTAATAAAAAAAACCTCCTTTTCTTCAATAGAATTCTCTTTTCTATTAAAGCCAGAAGAGAATCTTTTAATTATATTTCTTAGAAGCAAGTATTTGGTATGATAAACTGCTTCTTAACATAGAAGTGCTGGAAAATGTGGGGTGTTTTCTTTGCTTTAAATTCTTCTTAGTTATCATCCAAGGAAGCGTATTGTTATCTAGTAGGCAAGATGATAATACTTTTATTATTCAACTGAATTAGCTGAAGTAGTGCAGAACCTTGAGATTACCACCAATGCAATTGTTTATTGAACAGGTGGATATTCTACACTTACAGAATTTTATTACAAAGATGTTCTCACGTGCTTGTACATTGTTAAGCCAACATGTTTAGTAAGGTTTATACATTTGTACACTGATTGTTCAGAGTTATCATAGAGACTTGTATTATGAATTGTGTTTTAATGAACAGAACAAGAATTGCATTTGAGGTCAAGCTGCAAAAGACAAACAAATCAACGGACTTGCGTATCCCTTCTTCTCTGTGTACAATGTTTAATGTCTTAGTTGATGCTAAAAAACAGACGGCTAAACTCTGCATTCTGGATGGGGGGCAAGAGGTAAGTGGAATTTTGTATGTTTAATTTGTATGTTTGGTTAGTGTGAAACATCTCAAACTGCAGACAGTCCTTAGTAGATTAATTTCAAAGTAGCTGAAATGTGTCAAGTAGCTCTGTTTGTACAGAAGCATGAATAGACTGCTCCCCAGAAGCATCATGCAAGACAGAACCCCTCATCTTCCACCAAAGACACAGAGCGCTTCTGTAATTTATTTGCTTTGACCTGTGAGTCTGTTGAGCATTCAGAGGATTTCTTGACTCACAGCCCCTCCAGGAATTTCTCGTGGGTTGTAGCAGAGAAACAGCCCACTTCAGGACTCTTTTATATCAGTAAAATTGAACCAAAACATTGTCCTTTGCAGCCAGGTTTTAAGCAAGTAATGTTTGTTTTTAAGTGGCTCATATACCCAGCATACATGCCTGTACATGTGCTGAAAATAGAGGAAACAAATAATCAGGTAATTTGAAGGGATTTTTTTATTGGTCTCCAAAGACAGGGACCATTTTGGTGGTAATCTGCTCACTGGACTGTAGATGCTCCACAGTGGAGTGCTGATGTGACTTTGAAAGATACTTAGACTTCACTGCCTGCTGTCCTTCCCAAATTGTCACTCTTGGCAGGAATAATCTGTGAAGTGAATAAGGGTGTAATACGTAGACTGGTGAGATCACTAGAATAAAATTAAAACTGTTCTTGCTGTCCTAATGCATTAGCAGCGTAATTTTGTTTGATTTTGTTTTGGAGAGAGGATAAAAACATCTTTCAGAATTTGGCAACAAAAAAGTACGTCTGTTTTCAGTAGTTTCATGTTTACATTATTTGATCATATAATTTCTGTTGATTTTTCCATTTCTGTAATGTGCTCTTCATTTTATAATTTCATCTTTTTAAGTTAGCGTATTCGATGTAATTGTCTTTTTTTTTTCCCCAATTCAATGAGACATTCATCATTTTCCTGTTCTACCCTGTCATCTTTATTTTTCCTTTTGGTTTTCCGTGACATGAACCAGTTTGCTAGTCAATGGGTAAGTGTCTTTTCCTTGTTTTTTTTCCTTTGGTTATTAACAGCCACTTTTTATTTTAAATGGTAGTATTGCTTTTCTTGTTAATATGTTAGCCTAGCCCTAGGAATTCCTTTAAAGCCTGACCTTGCTACAAACTGATCATCAGTTTCTCAATTCTTCTTTCCTTGTTCATCCTCTTAAGGTGGTTCCAGATGAATTCTTTGCTCTTCTGCTTTTCAGACCCAGTGTCCCGTCATACTGGGTCACAAAGTTATGGGCTCTTTTACTTCTCAGTGAGGCAAAAGAGCAATAAACAACTTCTTTCATCAGAAGTAAACCACTACTAGAAACTCTTTGCCTTAGGCTGATGCTACCATTTCACGTTTTACTTACTGTCCAAGCAGTAACCTGCAAACACACACATGAACATCCCCCTTCTCTGGGGACAGACAATGCCAGTACCTCCACAAAGACCTACAGACAAATGGTATAGCCTCATTCTCCACAGTCACACCGTTCCTCTCACCTGCTCTGGACGGTACCTCCTGCCTTGTCAGCCAGTCCCCCTCAGAGCCAAGGTTGAACATTCACATTACCTTTTGGACTGCAGACCCTCACCAGGTTCTCTTCTGAAATCTTCCCATTCTCTAGATTTTCAAGCTCTATCATACTCTTCACGACACCAAAACAGAAATACAGCCCTTGTTCCTTACTAGGTCTTATTGAGCTTCTTTTCAGTGCAAGAGTTTGATAATTTAGCATACCTGTGATAAAATGCACACTTCTTTCAAAGTTCCCAAGATAATCTTCATCCTAATTAATCTAATAAAACAATATCAGAAAATCTATTAACAATATCAGAAATCTAATAAGACATATCAGAAATTATCAGATAATGTGGAAACTTCCTTCTTTCTTTGAATTATTTTGAATTTCTTTGAATTATTGCCCTAACAGTTTCTTCCATTCCCAAGGCCCTTTTTGAAGATTAAGAAAAAAGTTGACTTTTCAGTTGCTTGTAGCTGATATCATAGGTGTTTGAAATGCTTCAAATTTGTTGGGTGAAGTGCTTCTGGAATCTGCCCATCTGTAAAAACAGGCAGGAGAGCATCCAGTTGCATCTCTGACTATTCTACAGGAGCTCTGGCATTTCAAATCACTCCTACTTAGCCACTTGGCCTTAAATTTTTTTCCATATTACCTTTCCCTTGTCCTCTTTCATCTTCCATTTCGTCTTAGACATGGTCTATTATGCCAGTCAAGAAAAGCATTCCCTAAGGCCTGAGTTAAAATTTTTTTAAAGGGCTGTTCATTCACCTAAAACTCTGAATATCTATCTGACCACTTCTAGACCTTGTTCTGCAAGTAATGGGAGGTGTTATTTAATTAGATGGTTAGACTCAAACATCTCTTTAAATACAGCCTGCTCTTTTCATTCCCTATATGGAGCTGTACGCAGTTGTATATCTTGTTCAAGGGGAGTTAGATGTGGAAGTTTTCACCCTGAGTTGTTGGAATGTGCCACAGCAGTGCTGTGTGTAGCTATAAACAAATCTAGGGAAAAGTGGGCTTTAATTTGATGAACTTTGTTTCTGAAGCTGTTTTGGTTCATAAAATTGAAGGAAGAGATTAATTTAACTGTAGAATTGCTAGAGAATTATAGCCGATTTGATAGTAAAAAGTGCAAAGACAATTTAATATACATAAAACATTGTTATATGTTGGCAGTAGCAGTTTCAGTTCAGATGATTCTGTGCAATTTGTTTTCACAGGTATCCAATCTTAAAAAAAAAAAAAAAAAAAAAAAAAAAAAAAAAAAAAGGCTAGCTTGAAAATCTTTTAAAAAAAAAAAATATCTTTTAACAAAAAT